AGGAAATCAGCACCATCACGGTCGTGTCTCAGTTGGCTTACACGTGGAAATGAAAACTTCAAAGGCCAATTTCACAGAAATGAAGCCAGGTTTTTTTGAATTTTTGAGACAGGGTCTCTCTTTGAACCAGGATCTCATGGATTCAGCTAGAAAGGCTTGGGCAAGCCCCGGGGATCCTCCCAGCTCTGCTTCCCAGCTCTGCTTTCAAATGCATAGCCTTGCCCAGCTATGTTGCATGGGTTTGAGGCTTGAATTCAGGCCTTTCAGCTTGCATTTCAGGTGCTCATGCACACACACACACACGCACATGCACAGACACATGCACGCATGCACACATAGGCACACACACACACACATGAACACACACTATGAGACAGGATCTCATTAGTTCAGACTGGTCTCAAACTTGCTATGTAGCTGAGGCTGACCTTGAACTCCTGATCCTCCTGCTTTCTCTTCCCAAGTGCTGGGATTAAGTGTATATGCCACTGTGCCTGTTTTGTGTATCTATCTGTATATGAGGCACTCATCATGAATATATGAAATATGAAAGATATGAAATATATGAAAGTCCACTCTTTTTTTAAAAAAAAAGATTTATTTATTTATTATGTATACAACATTCTGCCTGCATGTATGCCCACATGCCAGAAGAGGGCGCCAGATCTCATTATAGATGGTTGTGAGCCACCATATGGTTGCTGGGAATTGAACTCAGGACCTCTGGAAGAGCAGCCAGTGCTCTTAACCACTGAGCCATCTCTCCAGCCTGAAAGTCCATTCTTTAATCTGAGGACAGCCTAGCACTTTCCAGGTCCCTCCTCCCCTTCCTCCTCCTCCTCCTTCTCCTCCTCCTCCTCCTTCTTTTTGCTCATTTCTACCACATACACCTCCTTTGTTTCTGAGACACAGTCTCACTGTCTATTCTTGGCTGTCCTGAAACTTGTTTTGTTGACCAGGCTGGCCTTGACCCCTCAGAGCTCCAACTGCCTCTGCTTCCATTGCACTCACTCCTGGCATCTTTTAATGCGCTGCCCGAGGTCAAACTCAGAACCTGGCATGTATTTGCTAACCACTGACTGCACCACTGAGCTGTTGTCCCGACTCCTGGTTTCTTCGTGTAAAATTTCCTGACCATCACCTTCTGCTGATTTCATTGTGGCTGATCCCAGGATAGAAGCTAGGAAGGTGGAAGTATGTAGGTTTTTTTTTTTCTGACTGAGCCAGCTGGAGAGCAGGTTTTCCCTACAGAGAGGACTCTCCATAATAAAGACTGGTGATGAAGTCAGGTTAGCAGGGCATTCATTTGTGGTGGAGCACGCTAAGCACGCATGGACACTTCAGTTGAGTCTTCAGTACTGCACACACAAAAATATTGCAAAACAACCTGCTATTTAGTTAGCAGTGTACCTACTCTCTTGACTGCGGGTCTTTGGGATGGCTGCACATCACACACTGGAATCACTTAGGGAGTTTTTAAAGTACCCCAAGTCCAGAAGAGTGAATGTGGCTGGGAGCGGGTGAGGCCATGCATTTGTATTCTTTTTATTTTACATTTTAAATTTTGTTTACATTTGTGTGTGCATGCAAGTGCACATAGGAGAGCATAGCATGGCATGCACACAGTGATCAGAGGACAGCTGGTGAGAACTGGTTCTCTCATTCCACCATGTGGGTCCCAAGGATTGAACTCAGTTCATCAGGCTTGGTTGTGGACACCTTTAAAGGCTCAGCCATCTCATTGAGCCATGGGTTAGTAGTTTTTAAATCTCCTCTGGTGATCCCAATGTACATACCAATGCTTTAGGTATATCTATATGAGAAAGCCAAATTGTTATCAAACAAGTGTGGAGTCTGTCTTTCAGTTTTAACATACTTTTTTTTTGGTTTTTTTATTGACCTACACATTTTTCTCTGCTCCCCTCTCCTCCTCCCTTTACCCTCTCCCATGACTCCCACACTCCCAATTAACTCAGATCTTGTCTTTTTCTCCTTCCTATGTAGATCTGTTAGGGTCCTCTTTGTTGTCTAGGTTGTCTGGGGCTGTGGACTGTAGATTGCTTTTTTTTTCTTTGCTTTATGTCTAGAAGCCACTTATGAGTACATATTATATTTGTCTTTCTGGGTCTGGGTTACCTCACTCAATGTGTTTTTTTTTTCTAGATCCATCCATTTGCATGCAAATTTCAAGATGTCATTTTTTTTTTTTACCGCTGTGTTGAGCATATTATAAATATCTATCCTGTGCTAGGTGCTGGGACAGGCAAAAATAGAAGTCACTACAATTTGGTAGTTATGAAAAATGGGCTTTAGAACAGGACAGAGGTGGTGCACATATTTAGTTCCAACACTCACAAGGTAGAGCAGGCACTTCTCTGTGTTCAAGGCCAGCCTGGTCTACAAAGCAAGTTCCAGGACAGAAAAAGCCTGTCTTCAAACAAAGAAACAAACAAACAAAGGAGTTTAGAATGATAGAGCCCAGTTCAAAGCCTAACCTACTTGTGTGTGTTCCTTTTTCTCTTTCTCCCTTCCTCCCTCCCTCCCTCCTCCTTTCTTTTCTTTTTTATTTTTTTACTTTTTCGAGACAGGGTTTCTCTGTAGCTTTGGAGTCTGTCCTGGAACTAGCTCTTGTAGACCAGGCTGGCCTCGAACTCACAGAGATCCGCCTGCCTCTGCCTCCCGAGTGCTGGGATTAAGGGTGTGCGCCACCGCCGCCCGCCTTCTTTCTTTTCAGCAGGCTGTTCTCAGTTTCAGTGTATTGTCAGGGTGACTTTGAACTCCCAGTCCTCTTGCCTCCCAAGTGCTGAGGTTGCAGGCACGCACATGCTGTCCCTGCTTTTGGCTTAATTTCATTCTAAAAATTTATTTTTTGGCGTGTGCGGAAGTGCGCAGGTGCCTACGGAGGCCAGAAAAGGGCATTGGATACCCTAGAGCTAGAGTTACAACTTGTTGTGAGTCACCTGACCTGGGTGCTGGGAACCAAACTCTGGTTCTTTCAAAGAACACTGAATGTTCTTGATAGCTGAGCCATCTCTCCAACCTCTGAGGCTTAATGTCTTACATTTCGGATGAGTCTGTTGGAAAAGCTGAAGCACTATAAATAGTGTCTTTTTGAGAGCTCTCTTCACCATCATGTTGCATGTTATGGTGCTATTTAAATTTCAGAAAAAAATCTTTGCTTGATCCATGCAACACCTGTATTAGTGTTTGTTTAAGAGGCACACACCTGTAAACCCATCACTTAAAGTAGAGACAGGAGGCTCAGAGCTAAAGGCCAGCTTCTCTTACATAGTGGGGTTGAGGCTGGGCTTCTTAAGACCCCATTTCAAAAAAAAAAATTAAGTCTTGATGGAATACTACAGTTTTTCTTAACACAGAGAAAAACAAATACTTTTTGTTTGTTTGTTTGTTTATTTGAGACGGGGTTTCTCTGCATAGCCCTGACTGTCCTGGAACTCACTCTGTAGACCAGGCTGGCCTCAAACTGAAAGATCTGATCCACCTGCCTCTGCCTCCCAAGTTCTGGGATTAAAAGTGCCCACCACCATGCCCAGCTATATGCTTATTTTTTGAATTATGTGGTTTCGTGTGGGTGTGTATGGAGGTACGTGAGAGATGTGTGTGGGTGCTGATGGAGTTCAGAGGAGGGTGTTGGATCTCCTGGAGCTGGAGTTACAGCCGATTGTGAACCCCCTGACATGGATGGTGGGAACCAGACTTGAGTCTTCTGAAAGAAGGCTGGGGTCATAACTGCTGAGTCATCGCTTCAGCCATGCCCAGAGAAAAATCTAAATGTATAATTAAGAAAACAACATTCATATTCTCATTAGGTCAAGAAATAGGTCATTGCCTTTCTCATGGTGCCTTGAAAGGCCTCCATTCCAACGTTAGGTGCCTCTCCTGGCTTTGCTGTCCCGGTATTTTACATCTGTGATATAGTCTGTCTCTTTAAAGTGTGTGTGTGTGCTCCGAGTCTGTGGATATGTGGATGTGAGTGCAGGTGCCCACAGAAGCCCGAATCGGTCATTTGATTCTTTGGAAACAGTTCCAGGAAGTTGTGCGGGGTTTGAAGTAGGTGCTGGGAACCAAAGGCAGGTCCCTGTCGCTGAGCCATCTCTCCAGCTTTTGCTGTTCTGTCAGACAACATCGTTTTGAACTTGCTTTCTCGTATGCATTTCTCGGTTTCATAATTAATGTAGAGAAGCCATCCTTAGTAGTCACAGAGTGTACAGAGCCTCAGGGTTAGCAAATATCAAACTCCCTTTCAGAGATTTCCCCTTCATAGCCAATACATTCTACCCCCGGGTGAATGTACACAGACTCAGCGCACCTTTCACCCCGCTCTCCCCCCCCCCCCCCATTGCTAACTAGACTGGGCACTTTCCATACACGGACGGTCATTGTGCTTTGCCATTTGGAGGTAAAGGGAGATTTAATGATCATGTCTTAAATAGAGTTAAATATCTTTGTTGGGACATCTTCACCTTTCTGCTGCGGGTCAATCCGGAGGTGCGACAAGGCAGGCGGGCGGCACTGAGTTCACACTCCCAGCTCAGCTGTACCGCAGAGCCCCCAGATTCCCCCAAGTAACCGCAGCGCCCACTTTAGGCAGGAGAGATGGCTCAGCTGAGTGCATTCTTACAGAAGACTGGAGTTTGGTTCCTAACATCCCTATCAGGAGCAGGCGGTCCAGGTAGAGAGGCCAGACTCCCCGTAGGTGCCCGGACAGCAAAGGACAGCACCCCAGGCTCCCCAGGAGCCGCCCTACACTCCAAACACAGCATCCTGCGAACCGCCAATTTCAAACTTCCCAGCCCTGCCCCGCCCGAACGCCCTTGCCCTCTTCCTATTGGTCACCAGTCAAGGAAAGAGAAGATCTGATTGGTTTTCTTATTTCACTTCCTCCAGCCCTCCAAGACCAGGGCGGGTCCTGGCGGAGACCCCCTGCTGTCCATCAGCGATGGCGAGCGCTGATTGGTTTAGGCATATCTGAGACCCGCCCATGCCGTTTTCCTCAAACGCTGGGGCGGGAGGCTCAGGGCGGAGCGCGGCGAGTGTAAGCCGGGGTCTGCAACATGTGAGTTCGGGTCCTGTGGTGTGTGTGTGTGTGTCTGGGGGTGTGTGTGGAAAGGGTCTGGAGGGGAGTCCCCTTTCCCGGGTCTTCCCGGATGGCCTGGTCTATACTGATGCCCACTTTGCCTCTTGCGGCTGGGAGCCTCAGGATCTCAGGGGCCCATGAGGGTCTGCTGGGGCTGCAGTCCCGAGGTGTGCTGGGGTAGCCCCAGTGTCTGTGGGTTCAACCTAGGTCCGTGAGTGCAGCTTCAGGGTTCTGGGTGCAGCTCTGGAGTCTATGGGTTCAGCCTTGGGTTTGTGGGTGTAACCCCGGGGTCTATGGGGGCAGCCCTGGATATGTCGGTACAGCTCTGGGGATTTTGGATTCAGCTCTGGGTCTGTTGATGCCGCCCTGGGTCAGTGAGTGCAGCCCTGGGGTGTGCTGGGGGAAGCCTGTGGAGGGGAGCCCCGGCTGTGCTGTCCCGGATCCAGGGGCTCCTTAAAGAGTACTGAGTCCCCCGTAGCCTGGGCCTCCTTCAAGCCTTACCTGTGTTGTTCTTGACGGCACTTCCCATTATCTGTGTGATCTTAACTCACTTACTTAACCTCTCTGTTCCAGTTCTTTCATCCTCTTCCATGTCTAAACTGGTGCCTCCTTCTTGTCTTCTTGTCTTCCTCCCAGTGTGGCCCTCTGGGCTTTCTGCTGTGTCAGGCCAGCCGTCCTTCCTCAGTAGCAGTGAGTGACCTCTGTAACCTCCAGGGACACTACGCTGTTCTTTTCCCAGATAGTATGCAGGGCTCGCTGCCCATCCCCTTCAGGCCTTGGTTCCACACATTGCATCTATTTTAGACAGAGTTTTTATTTTGTAATTTGTGAATATTACTGTTTATATACCTTTTATAATTTTTAAAGTTAGCATATGAGGTGTAAGATATTTGTAGCAGTCGGGGTTCACTAGAGGAGCAGAGCTGACAGAATGAAAACACAAGAGGGGACTTATTGGAGCGGCTTACAGGCTGCGGTCTGGCTAGCCCAACAGTGGCTGTCAGTGCTTTTAAAAACGATTTCTTTCTATTCTTTATGTGTATGAGTATTTTGCCTGCATGTGTGTATGCACCATGTGCCTGCCCAGTGCTGCTGCGGCTGGAAACGCCCTCCTCCTGATGTGTTTAGGGAGATAGGATCCTGTCAAGCCCTACCGGCCCTAATGTCAGTACACGCGTGACTTTCCCCAGTGTCCCTCGGCGTCGGTGGAGAGATGCTGAAGTTCAAGTATGGAGTGCGGAACCCACTGGATGCCAGTGCCTCCGAGCCCATTGCCAGTCGGGCCTCCAGGCTAAATGCCTTCTTTCAGGTAGGAGGCTGCCTGCCAATGATGCGCACTCACGGCTGTTATGGTTATCGCCTCTGATTGTATGAGACTGATATTCTTGGGGGAATCTGTTTGTTGTTTTACATGACTGGACTGAGCTGGACAAAGGTGCCACTGTGCAGACGGTTCCGCGGCTGGACCTGCCCTTGAGACGCCTCCTCTCTCACACTTCACACTTCTAAACCTCGTCCTTTCAGTTAAAGAAAGAAAGAAAAGAACAAAGGGACTTCTTAAGTGTGTGTGTGTGTGTCTGTGTGTCTGTGTGTCTGTCTGGGTACCCAGACAGAGAGAGGCCAGCGATAGGTGTAACATGAGGGGCCGGCTTGTTGAGGTTTCTGTCCCGCCCAGTACCCCACAGCCGGCAACTCCCAAGGAAAATCACACACAGGACTCCATAAGGTTATAAACTGATTGGCCCATTAGGTCAGGCTACTTATTAGCTCTTATAACTTATGTTACCCCATTATCCTTATCTACGTTAGCCACATGGCTCAGTACCTTTTCCAGCGGGGCAGCTTACATCTTTCCTTTCTGGTGGTCTGGGCAGAACTGACAGAGGGAGCTTCCTAGAATACTCCCGGTCTCTTTGCTCCACCTCTACTTCCTGTCTGGCTTTCTCGCCTATACTGCCTGTCTGGCCAATCAGCGTTTTATTAAAATATGATTGACAGAATACAGATAATTCTCCCGCACCAGATAGGCTTCAGATTCCATGGAGTGTGAGTTACGGGGGTGTTCGTAAGAGGCTGATGTGGGTGCTGGGACCCAACTGTGGTCCTCTGATAGAGTAGTCAACAAGCCCCAGTGTAGACACAAACTTCTTTCGTACAAGGAACGTCTGCTTGTTTTTTCTTTTTCTTTTTTAAAAGATAAATTCTTTTTATTACATAGCTCTGGCTGTCCTGCAGTTTTCTATGTGCACCGGACTGGTCTCGAACTCACAGAGGTCCACCTGCCTGTGCCTCCTGAGTGCTGCGATTAAAGGCGTGCGCCACCCCACTTGGTGGCTGTCCGTCTGCTGTTTAGATTAAATACCACACCTCTGTAACCACATCCTTGTGAGGCACCTAACATTTCCTTCATCCTATAAGGACAGATGTCCTGAAATTGTTTCTGAGCAGTCTCCTAACCTGTTTGTTTCTGATGTATGTGGGACTCTGGTGAAGTGGGTCCTTGCTTGGCTTGTGGACTCACCAGTTAGGACAGCAGGGAGTGGTGAAGATGGGTGTCTTAAAGCTGTAGTCCTATAGTCCGGCACGCGTTTGTTAGTTGTGTTGCTTTCGGTAAATTATTTTGAATCTGCTTTTTATTTCTATTTATTTAATTTTATTTTTTTTCCAAAGCAGGGTCTTATGTGGCACAGGTTGACCTCAACTCCGTGTGTGTTTGTGACGTATGCGTGTAGGACGTGTAGGAGTATGCCTGCGTGTTCTTGTGCATTTGTATTCATGCAGCATGGCACTCGAGTGAAGGAGGACCAAGGATAACCATTGTTGTCTTGTCCTCATTTTTTTTTTTTTTTTTTTGGTTTTTTGACATAGGGTTTCTCTGTGTAGCTCTGGTAGCTCTGGCTGTTCTGGAACTCACTCTGTAGACCAGACTGGTCTTGAACTTACAGAGATCCACCCACCTCTGCTTCTGAGTGCTGGGATTAAAGGTGTGTGCCTGGCTTCATCCTGGGTTTTTGTTTGTTTGTTTGTTTTGTTTGTTTTGCTTTGTTTTGTTTTGACTGAGTTCTCTCTTGTTCAGTGTTGTGTTTTCGAGGCTAGAACTTGTGATTCTCTAGTCTCAGATTCTATTCCCTATGGGGGCATTTAGGATTAGAGGTTCTTACGCTACCACATCTGGCTTTTAGCTGGGCTCTGTATCCAAACTCAGGCTATCAGGCTTGTCTAAAAAATGCTTTTAACTATCTTTCAAGTCACCTCCTCCCTGTTTTAAAAACAGGGTCTCGCTATGTAGCTCCAGCTGGCCTGGCCTAGAACTTCAACCCCAGGTTGACTTCTAACTCACGATCCTTCTGCCTTCATTTTCCTGTGCTGGAAAATGTACCTCCATGCCGAACACTTACCTTCACCTTGGCCTTCTGAATGCTGTCGTGACTCTGTACCCTTCTATGTCCTGCTGAAATGGGATATCATCCAGACAGCCCTGGAAAATTCCCATGATCCTCCAGCTGCAGCCTCCATAGTACTGGGTCGTAAATGTGCCATCACACCAGGCTCAAATCTACTCTTACAGCAGGAGCTGAGGTGCCTTTCCTGTCGGGTTATTGATGGATTAATGAGATAGTCCACATGAAGTTTTCTGTGCCTTGCCTAGCTCTTGGCAAGTCCTTTATAAATGAGCCTTGAGGCTATCTTGGGCTACTTAGTGGGTTTGAGGCCAACCTGAGCAAAGTAGTAAGATCCTGTCTTAAAACAAAAGAAAAAAAAAGTAAGAATGCTAATTCTTTTTTTAAAAAAGATTTAAAAGATTGAGCTGGGCTTGATGGTGCACGCCTTTAGTCCCAGCACTCTGGGGCAGAGGCAGACGGATCTCTGTGGTTCTTGTCATTCAGGGTTGCATAGTTAGATCCTGTCTCAAAAAAAAAAATCCATTTTGTTTTAATTATATACCCCAGAATGTGTTGTGCATGTGTGAATGGAGGTGCCTGGTGTCTTGAAGAGGGGCATCGGGTCCCCTGGCGCTGGAGTCAGCTGCCTGATGTGAGTGCCGGCAACCAAACTCATCCTCCGCAAGGGCTGTTCAAGCTCTGAATTGCCGGGGTGTCCTCTAGCCCAGTATCTGTCGTTAATGCTGATTGTAGCACCATGTCTCAGTTTCTCTTTGTGTCTCTGTGGCAGGGTGCTCTGGTTTGGGCCCATGACAGTCCGTCAGGGCAGGGGGCCGGTCACGTGACATCATCAGCAGTCATGCTGCTATTGCTAAGTTTACACAGTCTGGGGTCCCCTGCTTGGGGAACAACCTTGTCCAGCCCACAGTTGAGATGGGTCTTCACATTCAGTGAATGCAATCTAGATAATCCCTCACGGGTGTGTGCAGAAAGCCGCCCTAAATTGTGTTCTGTTGGCAACATAGGTCATTGCACACACTGTGGTCACAGTCATGATGATCTCATGTCTTACATGATCTTACATGGGATGTCTGTATGATGACTGGCAATATTCTTGCTGACATTCCCCGCCCCCCTCGGGGGGGGGGAACGTGGAAACAGTGGGAACAGCTTGGTAACTTGGGGTGTGCTGTGGAAATGTTCTTGTTTTAAATCATAAGACAGTTCTCAGAGATGAGTGCTCTATCTGTGACCTCAGTGTCTGAATGCTGTCACATACAGGACCCTTGACGGCTTTACTTAAAACAGACGCCTAACTAAAACCAAAACAAGTCCTCATTTGTGGAGACGGCTCAGCCATTGAGAGCACTGTTGCTCTTCCAGAGGACCCCAGTTCAGTTCCTAGCTCCCACACGGCGGCTCAGAGCTGGCTATAACTCCAGTGCCAGGGGATCTGATTCCCTCTTCTAGCTTCCGAGGGCACCAAGCGTGCAGGAAAAACACCTGCACACATAAAATAAAAATTGAAAAAGGGGCTTAGTGCTGATGTTGACACAGTTATGGTTCTCGATTCAGCCTCATAACAAACGGTTGTTATTTACAGCGTGAACAGGAGGAACGTGGGGTCCAAAGTCACGCATCTTGTATGACACTCAGGTGACATTGGGACTGTCTGATTTCTAAGGCACATTACTAGCGTGTGTCAGACAGAGTTGCTCCACCATGTTTTATGTTTAAATGTCTTATGGGAAGGATTCTGGGTAAAACCTTTGGTGCCGATTTTTTTTTTTTGTGGTCAGTTTGACACACTAGAGTCATCCATCTAGGAAGAAGGAACCTCAACTGAAAAAATGCTTCATCAGCTTGGTCTACTGTAGGCAAGCTTGTGGGAGGGTCAGAGCGAGCAAGGCCCCAGGAGCTAGCCAGTAAGCAGCATTCTTCCATGACTTCTGATTCAGTTTCTCCCTCCAGTTCTCTGACTTGCCTCCGTGATGGGCAGTAAGCTGAAAGATGCCCTTTCCTGCCCATTTGCCTTGGTCACAGTGTTTGTCACAGCCGTAGAAAGCAAGCCAGGACACTTTCATTACATCTCTTTTTAATGCTGAGTGACTTTAGTTGATTCTTTTTTTCTTATAACAATGTACCCAAGAGTTTGTACTTTATAAACAGAAGAGGTTACATAGTTCACAGTTCTGTAGACTCAAGAGTATGCCACTGGCTTCTGCTTGGATCTGCTTGGCTCTGCTGAGGCCTGGTAACAAATGGCACTGTACTGGCAGGGGCATGTGCAGAAATCACATGGGCAAGACAGAAAGTAAAAGACCAGGCCTACTCCCTTTCTAACTTCCTGCTCCCAGCTCCTGAGGTTAAGAAAAACATTTTGTATCTTGGAGAGCAGATAAGTGTCTCACCCCATCTTGAAGACTAGAGAGCCTCCTACAGGGTCTCACCCCACCTTTTGACGCTCCCACCACTTGACACTGAGGTCCAAACTTGCAGCCCATGAACCCCTGGAGGGTAAACCACATACAGATGCTAGCAGTGAGTGCCCCCTGCCCCAGGAAAGGTTGTGGCAAAGTGGGTACCCCAGACATGAGCCCCATGTGCCTCCTGAGGCTGCTGTGCTGTCCCCATGCTGGGCTGCCACCCTGGCGGTTGGATACAGTGGCTGGTTTGTTTTCTATTAAGGTATGTCCTTTAGACGAGGTCTCAAACGTGTGGCTCCCTCCTACACAGGGCACTTCTGTTTTGGTGCTTGGCCGACTTCCAGAGCCACAGAAATCTCACAAATCACCAGGCGGCCAGGGCTTTGCCAGCTTTTTATTTTGCCAAGCAAGGATGTAGAAAACAAATGAAAGGAAAAAGCCATTACTTTCTGGTCTTTTCATTTCCTGAAGACAGAGAATTTAAGAAACATGCAGAGAGGAGGAAAAAGCGTCAGAACAAAGGGCCATTTCCAAGTTTGTGTCCCCTGAGCTTTCGGAGAAGGTACGATGGGGCTTAAGCCTCCTGGAGTCTACTTGAACCCCATCTACTTGGGTTTAACTCTCAGGTGAAGGGTCAGGCAGGAAGACCCAGGAAGGCCCAGCACTTCCCAACTTGACCCAGTCTCCTGGAGGATTTATTAAAATCAGTTCTAAACTGTAGTCTAGAAAATTTTAATTTGGGAGATTGGTAATAGGGCCAAAGATTCTCTCCTTTTGTGATTCTCTCGTGGTTCAGATGCAGCTGCTGCTTTATGCTGCCCAGTGTTGTGTAACAGGCCCTACCGTTTAAAGGTATAGTGATGTCTTTTTCCTAGGATTTTGCAGGTTTTCCAGCAGGCATGGTGGTGCATGCCTTTAATCCCAGCTCTTGGGAGGTAGAGGCTGGTGGATCTCTGTGAGGTGAAGGCCGGCCAGAACTACACAATGAGACCTTGTTTCCAAACAAACGAACAAACAAGCAAGCAAGCAAACAGACAACAAAGCCCAGCAGGTTGGCTGTGCTTCAGTGGGTGGCTTTGCTTCACCCCATGGCATCGGCTGTGGTTGCTCAGTCCACAATCCACTGAGATTACACCAGGGTCAGTAGAATCTAGGCACTGACTGCTCACTAAGGCAACCTTGCTTATTTATTTTATTTTATTTTTTTTAAATAAATTTATTTATTTTATAAACCAATTCCAGTCCTCCCGCCTTCCTCCCACCCCATCCTCATCGGCTCCCCAGAGAGGATAAGGCCTCCCCTGGGAAGTCAGCTACCTCTGTCCCATCACCTGATTGAGGCTGGCTGGTTTGTTTGTTTGTTTGTTTTCTTTGTTTCTTTTGTTTTTTTGTTTCTTGTTTTCCAAGCCAGGGTTTCTCTGTAGCTTTGGAGCCTGTCCTGGAACTAGCTCTGTAGACCAGGCTGGCTTCGAACTCACATAGATCCCACCTGCCTCTGCCTCCCAATGCTGGGATTAAAGGATTAAAGGCGTGTGCAACCCCTGCCCTGCTGGCTGTTTATTTTTAAATGGAATTATTTATTCCTGGGCGCACATGTACACGTGCCATTGTGCATGGGTATCACAGTGTAACTTAGAGGAGTCTGGAGGAGTCGTGTCCCAGTGTTTTGAGGCAGGGTCTCTCTCGTTTTGCCGACTGTATTCCTGGCTTGCTGACTTACATACTTCTGCGGACTCTCCTGCCTCCCTCTCCCACTTTCCAGGAGGATTGCTAGGGTCGTAGATGTTCCCCCCATATCTTACTTTTTACATGTATTCCAGGCACCAAACTCAACTCATTAGGCTTCACGGCAAGCTTGAGCCCTTACCCTGCCGTCATGTGGCCTCTCCATGTATTTATTTACTTATTCATTTACCTAGGCTATCTTGGACTTCTTTTTTCCCCTCTCCCCCAAATAATAAAAGGTTTTCCATTGTGTGAGTCATTGGAGGCAGCTCTTCAGCTTTGCCATTGTGGCACCAAATTTGTTGTGGACTCAGTGTAAAAGAGTGGGCCTGGTCTGACTACCTCCAACAGAGGTGTTTATAATTCAGGCACGGGTCTTGTTTGGTGCCAAACCCTAAATGTCGCCTAACCTTCTGTGCATGGCAACTGCCTTCTCAAACAAGAACCAAGGCAAAGTATGTGTGGTGTCTGGAAGTTGTGCCCTGAGCCAGCGCACTGCCCTTTGTGCCGCGAGTCTCGGGGACGGCACCTGTGCGAATGGATGGTGGATTCCGAGGGACATGTGGCTTGTGCCAGGAGCCGGTAGTGGCTCTCTTTTGTCCCTCCTCCTTTTTTCTTTGAGAAAGAGTTATTCATCTTTTGAACTCATAATCCTCCTGCCTCAGCCTTTCCCGTGCTAGGATTGTAGGCATGACAATGCATTGAAATTGTGTATGTGTGTGTGTAGGCAGCTGTAGACATTGAGTGGATTTCCTTGGTGTGTGTGTGTGTGTGTGTGTGTGTGTGTGTGTGTGTAGGCCAGCCATAGCCATTGGGTGTATTTCCTAGGTGTGTGTGTGGGTAGGCCAGCTGTAGACATCGGGTGTATTCCCTTGTGTGTGTGTGTGTGTGTGTGTGTGTGTGTAGGCAGCCATAGACATTGGGTACATTTCTTTGGAGTGTGTGCATGTGGGTGCGTGTACACGCATGCATGCATGCGTGTATATGCAGCCGTAGACATTGAGTAGATTTCCTTGGCTGATCTCCGCTGTAACATTTTGAGATAGGATCTTTCATGGCTCATCAATTCCACTGGATGAGCTGGCCAGTAAGCTTCAGGAATCCATGTTCCATCCCCAGTGTTGGGGTGACAGGCACTTACCACTGTGCCCAGATACTTTACATGGGTTCTGGAGTCTTTATTCTTGTGTGATGGGTACTTTACCAACTGAGCCATCACCCTAGCCCCTGAACTCTTAAAAATCTCCTTTCTGTGCCTCCCTCCTTTAGCTGTTTTTACAGAGAGATTGCCCCGTAATTCGTGGCCTCACACGGGAATCATTGCTCTAAACCAGGGGTTGCCAACTCAGGTCTTGAGAGGCCAGACAGTGGGCATAAATGATTCAAGCTGGCCAGACAGAAGACCGCAAGTCAAATCTACAGTGAACTTTAGCACCCACCAAGAGGGCGACATCACTCAGCTCCTGCTGTGTTACCAGGCAGAACAGGGCGATATTGTGAGATCCATTGGCGCTTCAGGAAAAGACAGACATTCTGATGTGTGTGTGTGTGTGTGTGTATGCGTATGTGTGTGTGTGTATAAAATCTGATTTAAAAATTTTAAAAATATTGGCAGATAATTCAAATTATTTTAAATACTTCAAGCCAAACAAAACATGTTTGTGGGCTAGACACAGTCTGCCAATCTGTATCTGATCCCACAGATCATGAATAAATTCGGCTTCACGGTAGGCATCCATTTCTGCTACTTGAGATGAATTAAAAAAGGCTGAAGTTGTGTTAGCAGGCGTCCAACCACATGGGGAGGGGGTGTCAATCATTGTTTCCTATTGAGGAGATGTGGTATCATCTCAACATTAGCGGGGGCCACAGTAACTGTTCCCATGAAGCTCAGACTCCAGGCAGGAATGACCATTTACAGGGACGCTGCTTTCGTCAAATCTTTCTTCCCCAGATGCAGGTGAAAAACCCTGCAGCAATGGACCTATGCAAATAATCACTTAATGGGCTCAGAATCCTTGCCCGCGAGTTGTGAGCAGGTAGTTGAACTGGGCGCTTGTGATTTACTCTGCGTGGATGTTATTGATCAGAGCTTTTCATTATTGACAGAATCTCCATCTGCTGTTTGCCATTTTTAGGGGAAACCGCCCCCCGTGATTCAACAGCAGCAGTCTGCTCTTTCCCGGGAAGGGATCTTAGACGGCCTCTTTGTTCTCTTTGAAGAGTGTAGCCAGCCCGCCCTGATGAAGATGAAGCACGTGAGCAGCTTTGTCCAGAAGTGTAAGTCGGGGAACTCGGTCTCCACATCTCCCCTGTGGAGGAAGCCAGGATGCTGGAGGCAGGAGACATGGGCGGAAGCTACAGAAAACCACAGTCTGCCTAAGACTGACCCGGGGGGTATACAGATTGTATGGTTGTAACCTGGAGACCAGACTTAAGTCTGGCTTCTCACTACAAGGGACAGATTTAGTTCAAAAGGGAATTATGTTGACTCATGGGACAGAAATCCAAGGGTGCTTCCTTCAGGCATGACCGGTCCCAGGGACTTAGCTCTGTTCTTATACTCTGAGCTAACCTGTCCTTCAGGCGGAGTAGGTGCAGTGCCTAGGGGCCATTGTGTTTAAATTCAGTAAGATAATTTGTTTAAAATCATGATAATAGACGAACGCGGTGATGATTCTGAATCTGGTGTCTCCTCTTTGCTCTCCCCCTCCTTTCTCTCCTTCCTTCTCTCCTCTTTCCTCCTCTTCCTTCCCCACTCATTCACGGTGTGCACATGCTGTGCCAGTGAGCTACACCACGAGCTAGCTGGATTGTTTTGTTTATACCACTGATGTCGTAAGACCTGGAGAAGCAGCTGATGAAGGCAGGGTGACCTAGGGCCTCTGAATGTCATGGCTCAGCTGACTTTGACTGCATTTCTGATTTTGCTCGCCTCCCGTGTGTTGGGGCAGTTGGGTGTTGATGCTGATGCCGCATTTGCTAATATTTTCCACTAGTGATTTCAGTCAGTGGGCATCCTGCTCCTTTAGCGTCTCTTAGAGAAGCACTGGGAGACCCTTCAGGTTGCCACAGCCGGGGCAGAGGTGCTACTGGGCGAGCCAGGGTCCTGTGACGCATCCACAGCACACAGGATTATGTAGTCAGTCATGACAGATCTGAGGAACTGCCTCATCTCAAATGGCCATCTAACCAGGCACTCTAGCCTGTAGCGGCCGAAAAGGATAGTTTTGTATCTCTTCATCTTGTGTCCGTGTTGGAGTGCATTCATCTGGGGATTCCTCTGTTCTGTGATGTATTGGCTAAAATTGCATGATCCGGGCTCTTAAGATGGAATGTTCTAGATGACTTGCCCAGTGTTTGTAGCCCTGGCTGGAAAGCTGAGCTCTGTTGAGATTTTGGGATGAAAGCAGGCTCAACCTGTCCACCCATGCCTCTCTCTTTCACGGAGATCAGGTCTGATGCTCTCTGTGGCTTCTCTGTGTGACCTCTAAAGCCAGGGCCTGGAAACTGTGAACTGTGTGTGTAAACAAAGCCACCCCCGCATGCTTCAGTCACACATTAGAATGCTTGGAACAGGGGTGATGAGACTTCCTAGAGCCTCAACTTTTCCCCCATGTGACCTTTTAAGAAAAGGCCTGGGGAACCCCTGACCTATGTGGACTCTAGCTTTGAAGGCCAGGTTTCCCCACAGTGGCCCTGAGTGTCCAAGAGCGCTGAAGCTCAGGCTGTTTTGAATTTGAAGGTTTTCTTTTTTCTTTCTTTCCTTTCCTTTCTTTTTTTGAGACGGGTTTTCTCTGTGTAACAGTCTTAGGGGTCCTGGAACTAGCTCTTGTAGACCAGGCTGGCCTTGAACTCACAAAGATCCGGCTGCCTCTGCCTCCTGAGCGCTGGGGTGCTGCCTCCACCATCGCCCCGCCTTGAATTTATGGAGGATGTAAGATCCTTGGCTGTTGTCAGGCAGCTTTCTGTTACTGTCATCAAACACTGGGGATGACTGCAAAGTGTGGGAGATGAAAGGATCCTTTGGGCCTGAACTTTGGGGGTTTCAGTCTTTGGCGCCTGTGACGAGGCAACATATCCTGGTAAGAGTGTGTGGTGCTTACGTCATGGCTAGGAATGAACGAGAAAGAGGGAAGGGTTCTGCTGGTCCTTTTTCAAAGGACGCCTCTTGCCGGGAGGTGGAATTCTACAGCCTATGGTGGCAGCTCTGTGTGGGTGCTGAGGAAGGAAAACCGGCGAGCCCACTTTCCTTGCCGTGGTGACGGAGTAGCCGTCTAACAGACGCAAACGAAGAGAAAAGAGGCTCGTTTTGGCTCACGGTGTGATAGAGTTCACGCAGAGGAGCGGTGGCAGGGGCCACGTGGCAACCCCTTGTCACAGAGTGCTGACCAGGAAGCCACGAGCTTGGGCAGGAGAAGTCTGTGAGCTTCAAGGCCCACACTCCAGCCGCTCAAATCCATGTCTCCTCCTGAGTGGCCCACAGCTTACCAAAACAGTGCCACCAGCTGGGGACCCAGTGTTTAAGTACAGGAGCCTGTGGGGACCATTCAATTATTAACAAGGGCTTCACTGGCTTGTGTGCACCTTGTCTGCTCTCAGTTCCCTCACCTGGGGAAAGGACTCATGTGGGAAGATTATCTTGAGCAGGTCTTTAATCCCCAGCGTGTGGGAGGCAGAGGCAGGTGGATCTCTTGAGTTTTAGGCCAGGCTGGTCTACAGAGTGAGTTCCAGGACAGCCACCACCACCAAGAAGATTATCTTGATTAGGCAAGATAGGGGCAAGATTACACCATTTTTCCTAGGGCGACCCTTCCACTGTAATTGCATCACTTCCTGTATGGAGACCCGCCCACTGTAATCGCATCACTTCCGGTATGGAGACCCGCCCACTAATCGCACCACTTTCTGTAGGGAGGCACGCCCACTATGAACACATCACTTCCTATAGGGAGTCCTGACCTCTGCAATCTTCACGTCCTGTAGGGAGACTCCCTCTGTAATTGCACCATTTCCTGGGCTAGTATCCTGGCCCAATATAAAGGAGAAAGTGAGCCGAACACATTAACAGCGTTGGGACCAGCCTCCCTGGGCTCCTGTTGCCTTGGCCTTGACCTTCCCTTCCCACTATGGTGGACAGTACCCTGGGACTGTACCCTGGTTGCTCTGTCAGGATATTTCGTCACAGTGACAGCAAAGTCACTAGGACACCAGGCTTGTCAATAGACACTGCCGGCTGACCATAGCGTCCACTGTGGTCAGCCACCAGTTAGTTATGTATCTTCAAAATGTCCTTGAGGTATTTACTGGCACTTGAGTTCCTTTGAATGCTCCTCTGGTTTCTTTTGAATATGGAAATTATCAAGTTGGCAGCGGGAGGGGGCAGAACTTGGAGGAACTCTTCCAGCCCCTTCGTTAGGTTTGAGACCCTGGGGACCCTTAAGAGCAGTCAATCATAGAGAAGCGGGGTGTAATCAGGGGCTGGTGCCAGTGGAGTGGAGATTTTTTTCTAGTAGATGTTCTTCCGGGAAACTGTTTCATATTTTTTGAAGAGGTTTCCTGGTGAGGACCCTGAAGAGCCCATGATTGAAATCCGGTGATTACGTTAGTATGAGCTCCACCCCCTGCCCCCACCCGCTTTGAGTTTTTATTTCAGAATGTGAGCTTTGCTTTCCCGTGTGGAGAAGGGTCCATCAGCCGCCACTGTCCACGTTTGTAGGAGTAGAGGTTTACTCTGGAGCTGCCGAGGAAATGGGGTGGAGAGGAGGCCAGAAGTGGTGCTTCCCACAGATGCCCCGACCTTGAGCCGTTAGAGGGCAGGGAATGAGTGTCTGGGAACGAGGGGAGGCATTATTGTCTTCAGCTGCAGTTCTCCGTTGGTTAACTGTGCACACGTGTTCTGATTGCATCATTAGATGATTTTTGTCATTGTGTGGCTGTCATCGGATGCTTACACAAACCGAGATGGCATAGGCTAGTCACTGTATTGGCTGCGATTTCTCTCTCTTTGAGACAGGATTTTACTATGTATCCCTGACTGTCCTGGAACTCACTATATAGACTAGGCTAGCCGTGAATGCGCTGAGATGCACCTGCCTCTTCTTCCCAAGTGTTAGGATTAAAGGCATGTGCCACCACACCTTGCCTACGAATTCTTTTAAAAAGTATTCTCTCTTGGGACTAGAGAGATGGTTTACCAGTAAGGAGCATTTGCTTCTGTTACAAATAACCTGGGTTTGGTTCCCAGCATCCTCATGGCAACTTACAACTGTCTAACTTCAGTTCGAGGAGACCTGGTGCCCTCTTATATAACATAAAAGCTTATATAATTTATGTATTTTTTAAAGTGACTCCTAACTATATATTTGAGATGTTGAATGGTGTTACAATACCTGCTTGTTTACTTATTTCTCTAAAGAGTTATTTGTTTTCTGCGTGTGGTGACACATGTCTCAAACCAAACCAAACACACTTGTTTGTCTTTACATAAAGCATGTGACATAGTATTTGCCACTTATTTCATGTCTTTAATTTCTTTTAAACATTTATTTATTGTGTAGACAGTGTTGTACCTGCATGAATGGCTGCACACCAGAAGAGGGCACCAGATCTCATTATAGATGGTTGTGAGCCACCATGTGGGTGCTGGGAATTGAACTCAGGACCTCTGGAAGAGCAGTCAGTGCTATCAACCTCTGAGCCATCTCTCTAACCCCTGTTTCTTTAATTTTTGAAGAATTTGATTGATGTGTATATCTGTGTGTCTGAGTATCGCTATGTGCACCGGTGCGTGGGCTCACGGAAGTCACATCGGCCTCCTTGCACTCCCTTTGTTTACCTAGCAGTGCACTCACGGAGCAGATTTTTTTGTCAGGATACACACCAGATGATGCTTTAGAGATTCCAGATACAGGGGTGCGGCTGGGCGCCACACTTCAGTGCTCCAAGAACAATAGCTGTGTGATAGAGATCCAACAGGCTACAGTGAACTAAACGACATCTACCACCAGGCACGCGGCAGCCATTCTAACTTGTAGCACCGTGCATTGCAGACATATTTATGATGGTACCGTTCTAAACAAACCTGCTGTGCTGTGAACCCCATGAGAACATAACATGTACAATTATATGTAGTACTTGATAATGGTAATAAATGACTATCCTACTGTGTTATGTTTTTGCTATATTATCTGTCTGTTATCTCAGTGTATACCTGCGTATTTAGGTAAGTGTGAAAGAGCGTGCCTAACTTCACAGGCAGCAGCCTCGTCATACATGGAGTCAGGAGGCTATGCTGTTAGGACAAGGAATGATAAATGCTCAATGTGATGGAGGAGTATCACAATGATCGCATGTTACATATTAAAGTACATAGGTGTGGGCCTGGAGAGATGGCCCAGCAGTTAGGAGCACTGGCTGCTCTTCTAGAGAACCTGGGTTCAGTTCCCAACACACACACACACACACACACACACACACACACACACACACAGGCTCACAACCATCAAGGTGATCTAACACCTTCTTCTGGCCTCCAAGGGCCATGCACACCATATATATGCATACATGCAGGCAAAACCACTCATACACAAAAATGAAATAAATGAGCCTTTTTTTTTCTTTTTGGACAGTGCCTCCCTATGTAGCTCTGGCTGTCCTGAGTTGATCTTTAGATTACTGTTGGTGCTGATGGAGGTTTAGGTCAGGTTGCTTCTGAGTGTTTTCTGTTTAAGTTTTCATCATGAGCCTCTTCATGCACATCTTTTCAAGTCGGTGTTGAGGGTTCTGTGAAGGATGGATTCCTAGGCCTTGAAAGGCTGGTCTGAATTTCCAGGAAGGAAGCTGTTGATTCTGCTGGGTTGACTTTTTGTTCCCCTCACCCCCACGGGTCCAGTTGTCCGTCTAACAAAGCCACAACATGGGCTGTGTTTTCATTAACGCGCTCTGTCTTGGTTTGCCTCAATATCCAGTACCACTGGACCCATAACACCAACTGAAAGTTCAAGGAGATGATGAGTCCGTATGGTTTTGGGGTCACATAAGCGGCTGGTGTGGGGAGAAGTTGTGAAGCGTTCCCCCCATTTCTCTTTTTTAAAACAGCCAGGGGCTTGATTTTTAGCACCTCACCTATTCACCCTAATAATGCAAAGCCCTTGGGGGAAAGAGAGTTCTGGAATGCTTTCTTGCACTTCTGAAGGCATCATCATTTTCCCCACAAAGCAGTTTGTCTAACGTGTGTGATTTAGAAGCCGGATCGTCCCCAGTGACAGGCCCAGTGTTTCCGAGTCGGGCAACATCGTAAGCAGTTTTGGGGCCCAAGGCCCTACAGAAAATGAAGAGAGATTGGCCTTGTGTACAGCGGCAGCCAAGTCAGGTTCAAACACAGAAAGCTGTGAGCCAGCACATTCAGTTGTTATAATTCAGCACTCAAATACTTGACATGAAGGAAGCCTGGGAAGAGGGGGCAGACGGGTCTTGGCATGGTGATTGAGAGCGAAGGGGAAATGCTGTGCGACCCCCAAGTTTGTGTCCAAGCTGTATTCTTTTTGTAGGCATATCAGTTCTACTTTATTTTACACGTGTGTGTGTATGTGTGCACGTGTATGTGCGTGTGCATGTGTGTAGGTCAGAGGACAAATTGCAGGCGTCAGTTCTCTTACCCCTATGTAGATCCCGAACCATCTTCATGATCCTAGATCTACCTTCCAACAGCACTCACAGTGAATGCATGTGGATCCGCCTGCTACTCTAGGGTGGTTCCCCACGGGACCAAGGGAGCTTGGTATGACCACATTTGCCTTCCACCCAAGAGAATTCAGCTGTACTTTAGCAAGAGAGAAAGGAGTTTCATTGATAACAATGAACATTTGGTGCTGTATAGTTCATCCAAATGCCAATCGTGACTGCTGTGAAAGGCGTTAGGATTAGCGGCAGAACTAAGGTTAGGTTAGCGGCAGAGTACCTTGGTGGGCCTAGACCACGCCATGCTGCCGAGACCGTACCATGCAACAGATCTCACATAAGAGGTTTATTTGGGGAAGGGAATGAAAGCTGCTGTCGCAGAGTGGGGACAAGAGAGAGAGAGAGAGAAAGAGACCAGAAGACAGAATGAGCAAGAGTGAGTCATGATGTCAGGAGGGACCTTTTAAAGGGTACACAAGTCACAGTGACGGGAATGTGCCGCACCTGGTGGTGGAGGCAGTCTGCCAGGGCTGAGTCCCTGAAGGGCAGGCGGGGGGAGTGCCTTCCTCTTGCTTCCTTTCATCATGAGAACAACATGTGGAGATGATGTGGCCATAGATTTGGGGGTTTCCATGGGAACTGGTTGCACACACACACACACACACACACACACACACACACACACACACCGCAAAACTAATAGCTGCAGATGTTGAAGTCCCTTATGTGGACTAGTGTGGCGTTTGCTTATACCTGCAGACACGCCTTCTTGTACTTGAACTGATTCTGTGTTGCTTGGGACGCCCACTGCGGTGCCTCTGCGGTGCCACCTTGGTGTGCATTCGGTGTAGATGTCTGCGTGCCACATACTCAAGTTCTGCATTTGGAAACTTTTTGGAAGGCTCTTTGTTCTGAATGTCTTTAAGGTTTTTAACTATTATAGTGTGCATGTGAATAGGTGTGTCCTTCACGATTTGGATGCAAAGGCCAGAAGGCAACTTTTAGGAGCGGATTTCTCTCTGCTGGGTCATCCACGGATGGAATTCAGATTGTCAGGCCTGCACGGCAAGAGCTTTACCCACTGAGCCATCCTGCTGGCCTTCCAAATGCTCTTGATCTGTGTTTAGTTGGTTGACTGTGGATCTGGAGGGCCACCTACTTCAGTGTCTGAGTGACATTTCAGAGCAGTCTCTTGGTTTTCTGTTTCTGGTGTGTATGTATGTGTGTGCGTGTGCCTTTCCATGTGGCATGCCTTTGAGTGTGCAGGTGTGCGAACCCCCAGAGTCCCGAGCAGAGCGTCAGGTGTCATTTTCTCTCATTGTTCACGTATTGTCTACAGACAGGGTCTCTCATTGAACCACAAGCTTGGAATTTTGGCTAGGTTGCCTGGCCAGTGAGCCCTTGGGATTTACCTGTCTCTGACCTTTGGTGTTGGGGTTGCAGGCATGTGTCACCATGCCTGGCTTTTTATGTGGGTGCTGAGGATTTGAACTCAGATTGTCATGCTTGCAGAGCAAATGTTCTTAATCATTGAGTTGTCTCCCCAAGCCTCATTTTTCAGCTTTCAATGTGATACAGAGCTATGGGATTTTCTAGGGTAAGGATTTTTGGTGTTAGGATTTGAACCCAGGACATGCTCTGCTACTGAGCTGCACCCTTAGCCCAAGATAATTTGGATTGATGGTGTTTCTTGCTTTCCTTTGGTTATAACCTCTGTTTCTGATACAGCTCCTCTGTTCATCACAGGGTTCCATTTTTTAGGTCATCACTACTGTTCTTACAGACTTACGAGTCAATAGAGCCCTTGCTTAGCTAGAGATGCCTGTCTCACAGGGTGAATAAATGTGTGCGAGAGCCTGCACTGCCACCCCCTCAGTCCTGTCCTTTCCACAGGGATCTCGGTCTGAGCCACTGGACTTGGAAGTCAACAGAGTCCCAGGCTCATCCGGGTGTGTGGCTGTCAACCCCGAGAACAGATGTCGGCCTGTTTGGACCTGGGGGCTAACCGTGTACCCTTTCAAGTTCTGCATAGAGTAAGGCCAGGAAAGCAGTCCTCTGCAGCCATGCAAGGGCCAGCAGCACAAATCCAGGCAGAGCCCAGTGAGCTAGAGCAGAGTGATCCGGAACCAGTGCCAGTGCTGGTGGAAAGCAGGGGTCACGCTGCTTAGGTCACATTGTGAGGCCAGTGCAGAGGCCGGCGAGCCTGTTGGCCCCAGCACTGCCCTGCAGCCCTCAGAGGAAGGAGAAAAGCATGGCATGTGTGCTCCTTCTTACTCCCTATGTCTACAAGATTCGAATTATAGCTACCATGGAAACCGTACTTTGGAATTTCTGGAGCCCTTAATTTTAACAGATAAAAGACTTTTGTGCCGATTTTATAATTATTCATGATGGATGAGAAAGTGACTCAACGTCTTTTGACAGGGAAGGAAGACAGAATACATTTTTCTTTCTTTCTTTCTTTCTTCCTTCCTTCCTTTCTTTCTTTCCTTTTCCCCTCTTTCGCAAAGATGCATGCATTTGAAGTAAGTGTATTTTTCTCCCGGGTGTAAATCTTCCATCTTCCACAGATTCCGACACAATAGCCGAATTACGGGAGCTCCAGCCTTCTGTGAAAGACTTTGAAGTCCGGAGTCTTGTGGGCTGTGGTCACTTTGCTGAGGTGCAGGTGGTTAGAGAGAAGGCGACTGGGGATGTCTATGCTATGAAAATCATGAAGAAGAAGGCTTTGCTGGCCCAGGAGCAGGTAGGAGCATTTGAATCTCTGGTCCTTCCTCTGTCTGTACCAAATGTTCACCACAGAGACAATAACCTGCTAATTTGATGTCTAGGATCCAGTAAGATGTTAATTATGGGTACACGGACAAAAAGGTCTCTCATGTTCTTAGCTCTCCTCAAACTGGTGTTGGTTAATTTTGCAGCCTCAGAAATTTCCACTGGTTTCTTTGTCAGGACTCTGTAGCTGCTTTTTGTTTTAGAACCACGTTGGGCTTTTAAACTAGGGATCTCAAGATGATCTGTCGGGGCTGCGAGCTTCGGTCTGAGGGACACGCCTCAGGCTGGGGTACTTGGGCGGTGTCTGCATGTGTGCATGGCTAGGTGTTCCTGCTGCGGGCCCACGTGTGTTCCATTTCAGAGCGGGCCTCTGCAGGAGTCAAAGCACAGCTGTGTTCCCTGCCTGCGAGCCGCTTGTCTGATAACAGGTCACGAAGTTGTCTTTTTAGTTGTGTGTTTTATCCCTTTGAGGAAAGGCTGCACTCTCAGCCTTTGATTCATTGGCTGTGTTTTCGAGAGACAGCCGTCACCCTTGGAGTTGAGAGAGTAATTCGTTAGTCGTAGGCAGTCTGGTGCACATCGTGTGTCCGATAGTGTCCCCAGCTCTGTGGGAAGCCTGTGGAAGGGACTGAAGTCCCATGACTGTTCCTTGCAGGGTTGAATAGCAGCCCCCAGAAGTGGAGGGAAAATGCAAATCTCCAGAGCAGGCGCTTGCCAGCTAAAGCACCACAGCCGGGGAGAGAATTAGCAGGTTCATTAGTGGTGGTGTGAAGGGCGATGTCATGGCTGAGCCAAGGGCAGTCAGTCAGGAAAGTCCTTCGGAGGAGGGGGAATGGAGGCTGTGGGCCAAGGAGTGATGGGATTGCGCCAGGTAGACATGTGGCTGAGGGTGACGTCCTGGGGTCCTGCTCGGGGGTGCGCGCGCGTGCGTGTGTGTGCGTGTGTGTGTGTGTGCGCGCGCGCGTGTGAGTGCACACACGCGTGTGTGTGTATGTATGCATGTGTGCGTGCATGTGTGCGTGTGTGTACATGTGAGTGTGTGCACGCGTGTGTGCGTGCGTGAGTGTGTGTGCGTGTGTGTGGAGGGGTGTTTGGTTTAGAACTAACAGAAATTAAGACATCTGGGTGGGCAGGGGTCTACAGTTGAGGGAAATCTCAATAACTTTAGCTTTTCATCATGTTAAACTCTACAGAAGGTACAATTTTCCACGTTAACCATTTTTACTGTAGAATTCAGTGGCACAAAGAAGTTCTGCCACGCTGCAGCCCACTGTTGCCATCCATCCATTCCTAGAACATTGCCACCATCCCTGTGTTAGACGTCTACCTAGTGACAAAATGTGTGAGAGAAACCAAGTTAGAGGGGGAAACAGGCTGTTTCCACCTGGAACATCAGAGCTTTCTCACCATAGTCAGCTGGCTTCATTGCTTTAGGCCTGTGCTGTGGCAGAGGATCATGGTGGACGGCATGTGGCCACCGAAGCGAGAGAAAGGGAGAGAGACGGGAACAAAATGGTCCTTCCCTGGGTATGCCCCAGTGACCTCCAGCTAGAGCTACTTGAGTGATATTTCATTTGTATTTTAATAAATAAAGCTTGCCTGAAGATCAGAGACTAAGACAGCCCCACTGGTCAGCCCTGCAGACCAGGCAGTGGTGACACATACCTTTAATCCCAGTAGCCATAGAAACCAGGCGGTAGTGGTGCATGCCTTTAATCCCAGAACTAGAGAGGAATATAAGACGGGAGGAGACAGCTCCCAGACACAGTCTCATTCTGAGATTCCTGGAGGCAGGCTCGCCATTTCAGACTGAGGTAGAAGTAAGAACCAGTGGCTGGCTGCTTTGCTTTTCTGACCTTCAACTGAACCCCAGTATCTGTATCTGAGTTTTTGTTACTCGTACTATACCCTATCTCCTAGCATTTCCTACCATTTTCCGGTAGCCCATTAAGTTATCAATACACGAATGGATTAGTCCATCGATGAGGTCACAGTTCCCATGAACCAGTCATTTCCCAAGGACCCCGTCTCTGCACACTGTTGTTAGGAGCCAAGCTTTCAGCACACCAGCTTTTGGGGGGACATTTCAGACCCAAATCCTCAGAACAGAACCCAAAGATCCCTCTTTCGTTGTTGATATTTTTTGTCTCTTGAGACAGAAACTGCAGCAGAGGGTGGGAAGCCGCCTGTCGGAGTCCAAGCATGATGTGGCCTCTGCATTTCAGAATAAACTGTGAGCAACATTGCAGGGAGGGAGAATGACAAGACATTGCCTGTGATTAGCAAGAGGGGAGTGGGAGGTGCTCCCTCAGCTCTCCCACCCAGGGAGGTGTTATCTGTCATCCCTACTCACTCACTGGGCAGCCTTTGTGCTTGGCATGTTTCTAGAGCCTTGGGCAGAGGCACATGATGTTTGCCAACCTCGCGGTGCTTGTGTGTTGGATGGGAAATAGTGCACGGAAGATGAAACAAATGCAACACACCACATGCAGACCGTCGAGGTTCAAGCAGATGCACTTCATCCGGGCCAAGGACCCAAAGTGACCGTGGTACAGAGGTGTGGGTCTGGGTTTTTAAAAGCCCTGTGTATACAGAAGCTAATAAAACAAGTTGTCATTGGTAAATGTATCACTGACTTAGAGGGTCAATATAAAAGAAAAGCAGGGTTCCTAATGGAGTTACCATGAGGATTTGGGATTCAAAGGTATGAAGAGAGAAGGGCAGCCTGGGAAGAGGCGAAGGAGGCGTCAGAGAGGATGTGAAGAAGTGGTTTATCTCAAACAGAGCCAGTCACCTGGGAGAGGCCGGTGAGCTTGCACCGAGCTGTGTGTCAGCCAGAAATGCTCCTCAGAGAGCAGTTACTTTAATGGAGTCTTCAGGGCTTAGGCAGCATCAGCGGTGAGCACGTGGGGCTGGGGGCTGAGACCCAGCTTTCCCTATCCCCCTCTCTGTGTCAGCAACAGGATCAGCCCTCCAGCACTTTAAAGCACTGGGTTGGGCTGCTGTTTCTTCAGTGGCTTAGATTTAGCACTGAGGTTTCCAGGGTGATCGTAGGGAACATGGACAAGCTCTTTCAAAACATTTCAGGGTGAGGGATGTAGTTTGTGGGTAGAATGCTTGCTTAGCATGCGTGAAGTCCAGGTTCAGTCCCCAGCACTGCATAAACTGGGTGTGGTGGCAGAGGAGGACTTGGGTGTCCTTCCCTGTCGTTTCCCCCTGTACCCCCTCCAGACAGGGTCTCTCACTGAACCTGGAGCTAGGCCGTCAGCCAGTAAGCTCCAGTGAGCCTCCCGTCTCACTCCTACAGTGTCAGGATTATAGGAGAACCTGGCTGTGCCCAGCTTTTTTGGTTTGTTTGTTTGTTTTGTTTTTATTTTTGTTTTTTGAGACAGGGTTTCTCTGTAGCTTTGGAGCCTGTCCTGGCACTCACTCTGTAGACCAGGCTGGCCTCGAACTCACAGAGATCCACCTGCCTCTGCCTCCCGTGTGCTGGGATTAAAGGTGTGGGCCACCACTGCCCGGCTGTGTTCAGCCTTTTAATATCTACTTGTTTATCTGATATGTGTGCTAAGATACCAACTCAGGTTCTCATGCTTGGGTAGCTAGCATGCTAACCACTGAACTGTCTCTCCAGCCTGCAATAGTCTTGAAGCACCTGCCTTCCCCCCATTTAGGGAAACTGCAATTTTGTTCTTTTTTTTTAATTTTTATTTTTTTTCTCTCTGTTTGGTTTTCCAAGATAGGGTTTCCCTGTGTAGCTTTGGAGCCTGTCCTGGCACCAGCTCTGTAGACCAGTCTGGCCTCGAATTTACAGAGATGCGCCTGCCACTGCCTCCTGAGTGCTGGGATTAAGGGTGTGCGCCACCACAACCTGACAATTTTTAATTTTTTAAAAAGGTTTATTTGTTTATGTTTTTGTTAAAGGTGTTTTGTCTGCATGTACATGTGCACAGCAGCAGAGGGTCCTGGATCCCACGGGACTGCAGTTACAGACAGGAGTGAGCTGTCACGCGGGTGCTGGGAGTTGAACTCAGGGTCTCGGGATGAACAGCCAGTGCTCTTAACTGCTGTGCCATCTCTTCAGCCTCCTGTTCTTTTTTTAAACTCCCAATTATTTTATTTGTTTTGGCAGTTTTGAGGACTGACCGTGGGGTCTGGAGCATGCTAAACAGGCAAGTGGCTCTACCACTGAGTTACACCCCCAGCCCTTCAGTTTTGTTCTCGAGGCCTTTCGGCTGATTGGATGAAGCCCACCGAGACTCCTGAGGGTAGTCTCCTAAGCTACCGAGTTCAGATGTCAATCAACTATCGCTACACAACACCTCTGTAGGAACACCACAATACCTGGGTTAGTGCTTGAGTAACTGGTGTTTTGGCCTTTCCTTGTTTCTGCGTAAAATTATTTATCAGAAAATCATACCACCCGTCTCCCTGCTCACCAAATGACTCAAAATTACATCTGTGTATTTGTATATATGTCCTGTGACAGGGATATTTTCCCCACGATCCACCACGCAACAGAAAATTAGCTAGTGCATTCCTCTGGCTCTGTTCACGTTTCATCAGCCATCCCAATGCCATTGTTAGGATGGCACCTGGGCATTTAGCCCTTCTGTTTCTTTAATCTGAGTCAGTTCCTTCATTTTTCTCCCTGAGTCTTTATGACCTTGGTGGTTCCAATGCCAGCTGGCCAGTTACTCCATAAAATCCAGATTTAGCTGCTTTGCTTGTGTTTAACATCCAGGTTGTAGATTTGGGGTGTATCTATCGTGAAGAAGGGGCTCTTTTCCTGTTCCCTGCAGCAGATGGCTCAGTTCCAACTGGCCACTTTCTGGATGCGCCCACACAGCCTGCTGCTCTTCGATGTGGAGTTCCCTCTTGGTCCTTACGCATTTTACAGAGACAGAACTCTCTCAAAGGACAGAACTATTCCATTCCTTATGCAGCCCTCAGTGTATCGGTTGGTTTGTACTTTGTGAACTGGCCTTTCCTTGTCTTAGCCAATGAGTGTAATCTACCATACCCAAAGTATCTCCAAGGCGGCTCTTCAGATAGATTTTTGTCTCCTTTTGGCAGGTCCCTGCCATTCTTGAGTTCATTTCTGGTGGTCTGGTGAGAGATGTTCAAGTTTGCCCTGCAGTTACTTTCCCTGCATTGGTGTGTCCCCAGGGATCCTTGTTCAGCAGGAATGATCCTTAGAGCCTAGGTCTTGGAGCTGAGAGACAGCTCAGCAGTAGAAAGCACATTGCTCTTGCAGAGACCTGGGTTTGGTTCCCTGCACTCCAACTGGGCAGCTCACAAACACCTGTAAGCTCCAGCTCCATGGGAGCCACTGATCTCTTCAGGCCTCCTGCAGGCACCCGCACACACAGACTCACATACACATATATAAATAAAAATAAAATATAGAGGCCAAGATATTTATTATTATTATTATTATTATTATTGAGACAGTGTTTCTCTGTATCGTTTGGCTGTCCAGGAACTCACTCGCTCTGTGGAGCAGGCTGGCCTCGAACTCAGGTCTGCCTGCCTCTGCCTTCTGAGTACTGGGGTTAGACATGAGCCACCACCGCCAAGCTAGAGGCCAAGACGTTAACACTGGGTTTTGGGCTTCTAATTGGGCTGTTATTGCTCTTAGATCTCTTTCGTGAATTGGGCAAGGAATACATGTTTACGTGTACAGTATGTTCCCACATGTATACGCATGAACACATAAACATGCAGACACATGCATAGATGTACACGTGTTTACTTCCATGTGTGTTGATATGGAAAGTCATGTTCACACTGTTACCTCTAACTCCAACTTTTCATCTCTCCCGAGTCTTTCTCTTCCCTGTACTTGGGCCTGGTGAGTCAGCTTCCTGTTCCTATCACACGTATGTGAGATAATCACATATAAAGAGACAATATTTATTTTGGCTCATACTTTGAAAGTTTCAGTGTAAGGCTGTGTGGCTACATTGTCTAAAAAAAAAAAGACAGTTTCCTATTGTGTAATCCCAGCTGGCCTGAAGCCTCTAGCTCTACCTGCCTTTGCCTTCGGCGTGCTGGGGTTAAAGGTTGCACCACTGCATCCAGCCTCACTGCTTTGGGCCTGTGGGAGTCCAGGGGAAACTTCAAACTAGAGAAAGATGAACGTTGGGCTCCATGGGTGTTTCAGGGGTGAGCCCCCCTCCCCTCCAGTGACTGAAAGATGTTCTTATAATGCCATGGACTGAGGGACAAGCCTTTAACCACGGCCTTTGTGGGGCTGGGCGGGGCGCTTATCCAAACCATAGTCTTTTCTCTCACCTTCTGCCTTTACCATTTTCTTCTTTTAAATATTTTTTTAGCTTTATTTATTTTTTGTGTGTTTATTTCTGTTCTGCTTGCATGTTTGTGTATGTGTGCACCATGGGTATGTCTTCAGAGTCTG